CAAGCCTCATGTTTGCTTCCAGCTGCCTGGCTGCTGGCCGCCATCTTGGCTGACAGTTAATTTGCATAAGGATATGCTGATTAGCCAATGGGAAGGGTAGCGGTCGTACGCTAATTACCATGTTTCTCTTTTATTAGTGTAGATGATTGCCATTATAGCATTAGCTAACACTTCTGTCATATAATTGTTGTTTCTTCTCTCATGGGAATAATTAAGATCTAATCTCTTGCAAATTTAATGTTTATAATACAGTTTTGTTGTCTGCATTCACTGTACTGTGTATTAGATCTTCAGACTTATTTATCTATGAGTTGCAAATATGCACTCTTAATAGCTCTCCCCTTCCCCTACCCCAGTCCCTAGTAACCACCATTTTACTCTGTTTTTTGTTGTTGTTGTTATTGCTTTTTAAAAATATGTTTTTATTGATTTCAGAGAGAGGATGGGAGCAGAAGAGAGAGATAGAATATCAAAGATGAGAGGGAATCATTGATTGGCTGCCTTCTGTACACTCCCAACTGAGGATCTAGCCTGCAACCCAGGCATGTGACCTGACCGGGAGTCAAACCGTGACCTCTTGATTCATAAATTGATGCTCAACCACTGAACTACACCTACCTGGCTTACTCTCTGTTTTTTGTTTTTTTTTTAAGTTTAGTTCTCTTTAGATTGCACATATAAGAAATATCACATAGTTGTCTTTCTCTGTCTGACTTATCTCACTTAGCATGGTGTCCTCAAGGCCCATATACGGTAGAGAGTAAATACCCTGCTCATTTAAATTAAGGGAGAACAATGGTGGACATTGTTTTAATTTTGCCTGTATAGATGTAACACCAGAAAAAAAATGCTTCAAATATTATAAAGTAATAATACTTGGTCCTGAAATATATCAATAAATTGCAATGCATTTTTGACATAACAGTCATTATGATATATATTTCCTGGCATAAATATTATCTACAAAGAGTTTATAGTTGTGATTAAGAAAATAATTTACATAATTAGTCTTTGATAGAAAAAATTTAGAAATTTATTTAACAGTAATATTTGCTAATAAGAGTTGCAGTACAGCGTATCTATACTAATAATTGAGGAATATGCAAATTGTCCAGGATGCTGTCACAGTAACAGTAACGACCAGCAGGATGCCTGGGGTGACCAGACCAGCAGGGGGATTAGTGAGGGATGACCAAACGACTGAACAGCAGGCTGCGTGGGATGACCAGGCCGGCAGGGAGGAAAGTTGGGGGTGACCAGGCCGGTGGGTGGAGGGGTCAGTTAGGGGCAACCAGGCTGGCAGGGGAGGTAAGTTGGGGTGAATAGGCCGGCAGGGGGTAGTTAGGGGCAATCAGGAAGGCAGGCAGGTGAGCGGTTAGAAGCCAGCAGTCCAGGATTGTGAGAGGGATGTCCGACTGCCAGTTTAGGACCAATACCTGAAATCAGGGGGGGGCAGTTAGGGGCAATCAGGCAGGCAGGCAAGCGGTTATGAGCCAGCAGTCCCAGATTGTGAGAGGGATGCCCAAGTGCCGGTTTAGGCCCGATCCCAGGGATCGGGCCTAAACCAGCAATTGGATATCCCCCAAGGGGTCCTGGATTAGAGAGGGTGTAGGCTGGGCTGAGGGGACCCACTCCCCCCATACACGAATTTTGTGCACCATGCCTCTAGTCCATACAGAAAAGCAATGGTACTTCATGCTATTTGAAGCTTACCTTATGGCAGCTAGCAAGGCTGGATATTGGTCATAGGTTAGAATCACGATGTCAGTATATGAGTAAATTAAAGCCATTATTTCAATTTTGATTGTGTGATTTTAGTATGGCGAATGGATACATGAATAAATTTAGAGCCATATCAGACATATAACAAAATACGGCAGTTTGCTTCATGTAAGAATGTCCTAGTACAATTTTTCTGTCTAAGCTTTATTCTTGTAAGCCAGGAGGAAAGAGAATTAAACTTAAAAATACACATACTCTTCTGGGCAGAGAGCACCTGTCAGCCACAGAAAGAATATAGAGGGTTAATTGTGTGGTGCCACTTTAAGAGCAATTCAGCATGACCAGAACAAACACTAACTTTTGGTAATTAGAAAACTATTTGTGTATAAAACCTAATTACTTCTGTTTTTCTCTGCTGCTTAATCATTCTGTACTGCTTCTGTTGACTAGGAATCTTATTCTTGAAAGGTCTGTATTCTCTGAAAATGATGGCATTAGGCTCCAGGTAGTGACTTCATAGAGCTTTCTAGAAGCTCATTCAAATGTTAATTATTCTTATGTGTGCCCAAATGATATAAGAGCAATATGGGCCTGTGTCAGAATGTGCATTTTCCTCCACTGAGGAAGGAAGTCATTGGTTACTTGTGGAGGAAACATAGATGAGGCCTTATTTTGCCAGTTGTGGGGAATTGGCTTATGTCTCAAATTTCAGGTGCTGTTGCCTCAATAATTTGCAGAAGAGAGAGATAATCAATAATTTGATTCCTTTATTCCCCTCATGCTCCAGCTCCAATCCATCATCATGTCCTGTAGGCTGTTCCCCAGAGCATAGCTAAGGGGTCTGCTCCCCATCATCCCCAGTAATAATGCCCTGGCTCAAGTTGTCATCATCTCCTTGCTGCTCTCCTCACTTTTGATACTAATTTCCCCCTTTCCATGTACACACAGTAGTTAGTATATTGGTCTGCTAAGGCTTCCAGAACAAAATACGATAGACCTGGCAGCTTAGAGAACAGATTTATTTTTGTACAGTTTTGAAGTCCAAGATCAAGATGCCACCAGGGTTGGTTTCTGGTAAGAGCTCTCTTCCTGGCTTGCAAATGGCTTCTTTCTCACTGTGTCCTCACATTGTGGAGGGAAAGATCTCTGGTGTTTCTTCAACTTCTTATAAGGACAACAGTCTTATTAGACAAGGTCCCCACCCTCATCACTTCATTTAACCTAATTAACTTCCAAATACAGTTACCTTGAGGGTTAGGGCTTCAATATATGAATTTGACAGGGATACAATTCAGTCCATAACATTAAATGGATCTTTAAAAAGTTAAAATCAGATCATATGGGGTCTTTTTCCTGTTTAAAATTCCCCAATGGCTTTCCTTCACTCTGAAAATGAAACCCAAACTCCTTACGTTGACTTACAAAGCAGTATGTAATCAGGACTACTCATCTTAACCCAGGGCCATGTTGCACAACTCCAGGAGTCACGGGTCTCATACAAGAGGATCATTTATGAGCAGACTTCCATCTGTACTACTTTCAGTAAGTCTTGATATAATATTGTCAGGTAAGCTTTCTGTTTGGTTACCTGCAGAGACAGATGGACCCTCCTCACCCAATGTTTGGTTTGGATGTCCAGACTGATGATCCACCCATACCCTCCAAGAGGGTATGACAAGGTTTATTACTTGCTTACTTGAGGTCTTTGGGGCGAGCAGGGCAGGCCTCCTATGCTTAGAGCAAGGAAAGGAGACTGGCATGGGCTTTGATTGTGGTTAGGAGTTGGGGCTGGGGTGGCTAGGATAGGACTTTAACTAGTTTGAATCTCCTACCGAGAGAGCACATCCAGCTTTTCTTATTAGCTTGTCCAGATGTGGGCACAATGTGAAGCGACCGAGGGGTGGGGGGTGGGGTGGGATGAGGCTTAGACATTCTCAGCAATCAAAAAACATCAAAAAATGAAGTCAGACTTCTTGTTACTCTCCCCTAGCTTCTTGTTCTTCAAGACATCTTGACATTTTGGCCCTTTGTTCTTCCATATAATTTTAAGGATCAGAATGTCAGGTACTATAAAAAGACCTATTAGGAATTTTATCAGAATTACATGGACTCTATATACGAATTAGGAAAATCTGACATCTTTAGATATTGAGTGAACAGTGTGTGTCTAAATTTTAAAAAAACTTTCAATAAAAATAACTTCCCCCAATCTTTTAATATTTAGTCATAGCTATGTTTTAATTGTGGTACTTTGGAAAAATTCTGTTATATGAAATTACTTTAACACATTGATTCTGTAGTCAGTGACCTTGTTAAATTCTCTCTCATTTTATCTGTAGATTCACTTGTCTTTTCTATGTAAAGAATCATAGCATCTGAAAATAAGGACAGTTGGGTATCTCTCTACCCAGTGTTTACAGTACCAATTTCTGTTTCTGCTCTCGCTGCGCTGGCCATGCCTGTCAGTACTCCATTGACAAGAAATGATGCTAGAGGGCATCCTGATCCTGTTTGTGATATTAACAGGACAAATGATGTCTCCTCTAAGTGTTTTCTGAATGCCTCTTATCAGGTTATAGAAGTTCCCTTGTATTCCTAGTTTGTTAAGAATTTTTATCAAGAATAGGTGTGCAGTTGTCAAAACTGTCTTTTTTGCCTGTTAGTGTGCTTTTCTGTTGACAGCCAGACGTGATGTGCTGGGTAAACGGAACTCTGGTAAATAGGTTTTTATTAATGTGGTGGTAAAGTGCAGGAGGAGGGAAAGTGGTCCATAGTTCTATGATTAGCTCTCAGTCTTTAGTAATGTGTGGTCCTGCGCTGTGAACTTTATGAGTTGTTCTCAGATTCTCTCCTCTGCCCCTCTGAGGTGGGAGAGAATAGCTAGAGGAGGCTGGAGTTATGTTTTCCCATCCTGCACAGAATGCTAGAGGGGCTGGACTTGGGTACTTCCCTTGTCTCACATGGATGTCTAGAGTATGGTAGAGTTGGGTATTTCCCTTTGCTCAGGTTGGTCAAGCTTAAATAACCCCCCCAGCAGGTTAAGCTCTGGGAAACCAGTTTCTCTTGAGGGCAGGCCTTGTTGTGAAGAACAGAATGCTCTGGTGTATGTCACTATGACAACTTTTCCTTTCTCCCTGCCAGAAACAGGAGAGGATTTCCCCCCTGCCATTCACTGTGAGAACCTGGTAGGGCTTCTGGAGGTTAAAATCACAAAAGTGTGCCCCCCTCCTCTCCACAGAGTTTTAAACTCAGACTTGCCCACACTGAGCCTCTAGTCTAGCGCATTGGTTCTCAACCTTGGCTGCACATTAGAATCACCTGATTTTAAAAAGATTCCCAGGTGATTCTAATGTGCAGCCAAGGTTGAGAACCACTGCTCTAGTGATTCATCAATTACAGTTTAGGATTTTTCTACCCTGGTACTGGTTCTAATGGATGTTTCTGCTCCAGTAAGTTGTAATTTTTTGTATTTGCCTGTCTTTGTAGTTTTGGGGGACATTATTTTGTATGTGACCCTACTTCTTTGATGGATCTAGGCAGAGTTGTTGATTTTTCAGGTTGCTCAATTTTTTACTTGTTCTTAAAATGGAATGATGACTTCTACTAGTAAGCCCCTTCTATGCCAGACTGGAAAACAGAAGCTGTTTATGTAATTTGATGCTATTTTTTTTATTTGCTCAAATTTTAGTATTATTATGCAAAGTTTATCCTAATGTGGTGACTCTCTTTTGCCCCTAATAATCCTCCTTATTCTATTGTAGTTTATCTGATGTAGCCTCATACTTTTTTTGAGTGGTATTTTACTGGTATATTACTATCCATTCTTTTGCTTTCAGTGTTAAATAGTTTCAGTATACTTGTGTCTCTGTAGGCAATTATATTTTTTCCAATCTTGTTATTTCTGCTTATTAACTGATGAGGTTAGTACATAAACATTTATTGTGATTATTTTTGTATTTGAACTTGTTGCTATTCTTTGCTTTTCTCCTGCCACCACACCTGCTGCTAGATACCCCTGAAATAGGGCCCACAACACAACAGCTCCACCCCTGTATGATGAAGGAATGGTCTCCCCCTCAAAAACCTGGGAGGGCACCCAATTTGGCCAGGGATCATCCCTATTCAGAGTGGGACAATTCCCTTTGAGGCAGTATCCTGTAGGTGGAATGAACCAGGAAGGTCAGCCTAGGCCCATACTCCAGGCCCATACTCCGTTTTCCACTTCAGGTTTACTGAATTGGAAGAATTCCAATCCCTCATATTGTCAGAAAATGGCAGATCTTATCACCTCCATTTTTGTCACTTACCATCCAAGCTGGGCAGATATACAGGCTCTCTTTAACATCTTACTAATGGCAGATGAAAGGCGGCTAGTTATTAATAAGGTTGATGAAGAGCCTCATCATCTCTATCAAGAGAATCTCAAAAGGACCCCCAATCTGGTCAGGACGATTCCCTTGACAGAGCCCAACTGAGACCCCAATAGTGGGGACCTAGCCTTCCTAGAACATTACAAAAGATGCATAGTGGAAGGACTTTAAAAAGGGGTGCCTAAATGAAAGATCTGGAACATGATATGTGCTGTTTAACAGAAACCAAAACAAGATCCTTCTGAAATTTTAAGAAAGGATCTAGCAGGCCTATTGAAATCACACTGATGCTGACCCAAGGCACCAGAAAATGTCCCGAAGGTAAACATGACTTTTATTGGGCAAAGTGCCCCAGATAATCAGAAGAAAGCTCCAACACTTAGACGGGACATTGGGAATGAATCCTTCCCAGCTGGAGGACATAGCTTTTAAAGTTTACCATGCCCAGGAAACAAGAAAATAAGGCAAGCCACCTTTTTCTTAGAAACTGTGTGGGGAAACCAGGAGAGGTGGGACCCAAAAGGAAAAGGGAAAGACTTATTAGGCACCTATCAATGTGCCTATTGCAAAGAGGAAGGCCATTGTAAACAGGACTATCCAGAACTAAAAAAATAAAAGTAAAAAGGATAAAAACCCTAGCTTAGAAATGTTAGAAAGGAATGATGAATCTGATGACAAATGAGGAGGCCCAGGGGCTCCCCTATACACCTCCAGACTTATTCCTATTTCCCCACATGAGCCTCAGGTAAAATTGACAGTGGGGAACAAGCTAATTGACTTCCTTGTAGATACTGAAGCTAAATACTCAGTGCTAAATATAAAACTAACCAAGAAAAGATCAGCTGTGGTGTCGGTCACTGCAGTGACTGGACAGATACAAAAACAGGCGTTCCTTCAACATCTAGAATGACAGCTTGAGGATCAAAAACTTATGCATAGTTTTCTCTACATGCCAGACTGCCCCATTCCATTATTGGGCTGAGATTTACTTTGTAAATTGCATGCACAAATAACGTTTTCCCCTGAGGAGCACCAGTTATGTTTAGGAGTCCTCCCGGAACATACTCTCTAGCTCCAGGTTGTCCTGACTTGTCCGGAAGGACCTGGTGGTTAATTTTTCCCACCCGAGATCTACAAGCAGGTTGATCAAACTGTTTGGACCAATGGGAGCCAGGGAAGGCAGTTAACATCCAACCCATAAAAATTAACCTAAAAGAAGAGGCACGGATCCCATAGAAGAAACAATATCTGCTTTAAAAGGAAGCTTTAGAGGGAATTCAACCAGCATTGTAGAAACTGTTAAAATCAAGATCAATTCAGCCATGCAAGTTACCCTGTAATACCCCCATTTTGCCAATCAAATAGCCTCACTATGATGAATATTGATTAGTATAGGGCCATCAACAACGTTGTCCAGGACATTCATTCTATGGTGCTCAACCTTTATACTTTGTTGGCCACGGTGCCCAAAGACAGCACCTGGTTTTCAGTCCTAGACTTAAAGGATGCTTTTTTTCTGTATCCCAATAGAAGAACAGACTCAACTACAAGCCACCTGAGGGCTGCCACTTCTTGGGGCTTTAATTCCCTACCTGGACTTTAAACCCTATTACACAGAACGAGATGAGGAACAGGCCTGTGAATGGGGATTCTCTAACACTGACTCCAATTCTATATGGAAGATCAACACTAATGGTATGATCTTACATGCATCTTGGAGACCCAATCTACGTGGATGAATGAGAAAATGAACCACACAATAAAGAAGACCCTCCTGAAAATATACCAGGAAACATTTGAAATGGGAGCAGGCATGCCCTATTGCCTTGTTCTGAATTTGGGTAGTGCCTTGAAGTGGGCTTAAATTAAGCCCTTTTGTAATAATTTATGGGAGACACTTTAAAGTTTCTGTTTTAGGAACACCCCCTTTAGATTTAGAACAGTGATGGCGAACCTTTTGAGCTCGGCCTGTCAGCATTTTGAAAAACCCTAACTTAACTCTGGTGCTGTGTCACATATAGAAATTTTTTTATATTTGCAACCATAGTAAAACAAAGACTTATATTTTTGATATTTATTTTATATATTTAAATGCCATTTAACAAAGAAAAATCAACCAAAAAAATGAGTTCACGTGTCACCTCTGACACGCGTGTCATAGGTTCGCCATCACTGCTTTAGAACATGAATCAAAAATCAAACAATACTTACAATATTTAGGGCAAACACTAACAACTTTGCACAATTTTGCTCAATGCAGGTCCATCTACCTATCTGATGAATCCTTATATCCATTACAGCTGGGAGACTGAGTCTTACTAAAGACCTGGAAGACTCAGGGTCCTGAACAGAAGTTAGCCGAGCAATGGACTAGATCTCTATAACGTACTCTTGACAACACTTCCCTAAGGCTCATGGGAAGCAAGTCTTGGACCCACCACACAAAGATAAAGTGGGTGCTGCATGAGGTGGGCTAGCGTCTTGCTGCTGCTGTTAATACTGCAAAGGAAAGCTAGACCTACAGTCCTGAAAGAGATGGAAAATTTCTGTTTTAGAAAAGGACAGTGCCCCCCAAAGCTAAGTGACAATTATTATTTTTTTGACAATTGCTAAACTTTATGCTCATTTTGGGATTAATAATGCCTTTGTCTGAATATTTAAGACAGTTTCCCTTGGCAAACTTATCCTGCTGTTGTGTGTGCCACCCAGAGCTCCACTTGGGATTAGATAATGGGGATACTTTAGTCTCTCTTTAGTTTCTCATTTCATTACAATCCCCCTATACTACTAGGCATACTCCTCACTAAATACTTGATTGCTTGAATACACAATAGGTTTTACTTTGGAAGCCCATCTGCAACAGCCCTTTTAAAATATGAAGTAATCTACTAGCTTCGCTTGTTCATCAGTGCCATCCTCTAGACACCACGTATGCCGCCTTCTGAAGACAGCTATCCTTCTCCCTTGTATAAAGGCTTCCCTCCATTTTTGACCCCCTTCTTCCTTTAGTAGATAGCAAGAATCTCTGACCCTGGGGATAAGTAAGACTACATCCCTTGATGGCAGGAAAAAACTACAGAAGTTGAGACCTCTATCCATTTACCCTTCAAGGGGGGAAATATAGGTAGCTGTCCATCAGAGCACAAGTCTGGCTGGCCACTTTAGAAAGGTTGGCCATGAGGGAGTTGTGCAGAGGACAAGAGCATGCCTGGGTTCAATGTGTTCCCAGTGGATTCTAACTGGCTCGCTGGGATGTACAGGCGCCGTGTCCAGCATTGGGTGGTGGACCATGGCATCACCAGACTTCCTAATGGTAGGACCTGCAGGCCCTTCCTCCCCACTACCTTCCCACTACCATAGACAGTCAGGGAGTGCTCAGGAGTCTCCCCCATTGGCCAAGATGGTGCATAGGGAAGTTCTTACACTGAGCATGCCAAAGACTAGAAAGATGAATAGACAGAGCCAGAGTACTCCAAAAGCTAACAAGATAATTAATAATTGCATAGTAAAAGAAAACCCTACCCTCTCTATCCCTATAAGAACCAGGGGCTTGAGCAGCAAGGGGAGATGGTCTTTGAGATGGGAGTCTACCATTCACTGAGGTCACAGCACCTGAACAAAAAAAAACCTCATTCCTGGAGAACCAAGATAGTGGCATAGGTAAACACTGGTACTTGCCACCGCCCACAACCACATCAAAATTACAACTAAAATACAGAACAACCATCATTCAGAACCACCTGAAAGCTGGAAGAATGGAAGTCCTACAATTAGAGAAGTAAAGAAGCAAGCACATTGAGATTGGTAGGAAGGGTGGAGATGCTGAATGGGCTAGAATGGCACCCACGTGTGCCACTTTTTTCATCAGGAGGGAGATCATCCTGTGGAGGCCTTCTATGAGGAGCAATGGGTCTCACCTCAAACCAGATCCCCAATTGAGGGTCCCAGAGCTAGGAAGAGAAGTCCCCATAATTTTGGGTTGTAAAAACCAGTAGGGATGGTGGCTGAGGGACATGGAGGCTGCCAGAGACCCAAGTGTCCCTCTTAAAGGGCCAGCACATGAAATTACTCTGACTAGCTTCCTTTGAGCTCTAGCTCCAGGAGGCATTGGGGGACCCAGAAACAAACAGGGAGGAACTGGACTGTCAGGCCTCGGGCCAGGAACTCGGGGGTGGCTTTCTCCCAAACAGAGGTGCTCCCAGGGGTCATTGTTCCTATGCTGGCAGCCATAATCATAATCTTCATCAACCTGGCTCACACTGTTTGCTTCACCCTGGTGATTCCCTGAGACCCCACCCCATCCAATTTGCAGTTCCACCAAAGCTGTTTGCAGCAGCTTTTCCACATGAATGTCCTGTCCTGGCTTAAGCTTCAGACTTTGCTAAAATTGCTCAAACAAGCTGCAGCTGGTGTCAGCATGCCCCAAACCTATCATCAGGAATAGCAGCTTACCTTGCTTCACAGCTGGGCCTCACCTGGGCACTTCCAAACCCAATACAAATAGCGGGCATCAGCAGATTTCTCTGTAGCTCCTGCTGGGTGGCCCTAGATATTGGCTGACTTTGTACCTCCCTGGAGACCCTAGAGCCAGTGCACCTGATGTACAGCTTTAGACCATACCAGATTACCACTCTACATATCCACAAACAACACACTCAAGGGGCAGACTCAGTGAGCACCAAAGCCCTACTGAAGCAAGTCCTGCTTCATAGGGGTGTTTCCTGCAAGCAGCTCTTCCACTACAGTTGCAGCTGGTCCTCATCCCATTGGCCTGGAGGTCAATTCCTCCCAGTGACACCAACAGCAATCAAGTCTCAACTACAAGATTGTATACACAGCCCACAGAGGGGCACACCTAGAGTGCTCAGCTCAGGTGACTAGAGAGGCTGAACCATTGGGCCCTACAGGATACCTACTACACAAGACCATTCTACTAACTCCAAGAGACATAGCAGCTCTACCTAATACATAGAAACAAACACAGGGAAGCAGCCAAAATGCAGTGACAAAGAAACATGTCACAAATGAAAGGAAAGAAATGGAACCAAGCAAACTACTGGATACAGAATTCAAAACCATGGTTATAACATTACTCAAGGATCTTAATGAAAGCTTCAAGGCACTTAGTGAGACTTTCAACTATCTTAGTGAGAATGTCAGACATGAAAAAGGGACAGTCAGAAATTATGCACACACTAACTGAAATAAAGAATAATTTACAAGAATCAACAGTAGAGTAGAGGATTCTGAGAAACCAATGATTTGAAATATGAAGAAGCAAAAAAATAGCCAATCAGAAGAGCAAAAAGAAAAATAAGATCCAAAATATGAAGATAGTGTAAGGAGCCTCTGAGACAACTTCAAATGTACCAACATTTGCATTATGCCAGAGAGAAGAGAGAGTGAGAGAGCAAGATATTGAAAACCTATTTGAACAAATAATGATAGAAAACTTTCCCTACCTGGTGAAAGAAATAGACTTACAAGTCCAGGAAGCACAGAGAGTCCCAAACAAGAGGAACCCAAAGAGGCCCACACCAAGACACATCATAATTAAAACCCCAAGGATTAAAGATAAAGAGGAAATCTTAAAAGCAGCAAGAGAAAAGCAGCTACTAGTAGTTACTTACAAGGGAGTGCCCATATGACTGTCAGCTGATTTCTCAGCAGAAACTTTGCAGGCCAGAAGGGAGTGGCAAGAAATATTCAAAGTGATAAATTGCAAGGATCTACAATCAAGATTACTCTACTCAGCAAAGCTCTCATTTAGAATTGAAAGTCAGATAAGGAGTTTCATAGACAAGAAAAAGCTAAAGGAGTTCATCACCACCAAACCAGTATTACATGAAATGTTGAAGGATATTCTTTAAGAAGAGGAAGAAAAAGATAAAAAATCTGAACAATAATATGGCAATAAATACATATCTATTAACAACTGAATCTAAAAATCAAAATAAATGAATAAGAAATCTAATTAAAACAAACTGGTGAATAAAATAGAAAGAGAGGCATAGAAACATGGAACAGACTGATGAATCTCAGAGGGAAGGGGGATGGAGGGATGGGAAGAGATTAATCAAAGACCTTATGTGCATATATTCATTACCTATGGACAGACTCAGACAATAGGGTGGTTGCCTGGGGTGGGGCAGTAACCCTGGGGAGGGGGATGATGAGGGAATTAAGTGGGACATCTGTAATACTCTTAGCAATAAAGATTTTTAAAAAACAATAACACCCTTGTTCTTTTTGCTTCAGCACCTGCCTCATGAGTTTGGCTTTTGTTACAGCAGGCAGTGGAAACTGTTTTTTTAGTTACAAAAGGACAGTATCAACAGGTGAAAAGGCAACCCATAGAATGGGAGAAAATATTTGCAAACCTTATATCTGATAAAGGATTAATATGCAGAATTCTTTACTTCAACAAATCAAACTGTTTCAATTTTGGGAACTTGCTCTAACTGTTCTCTTTGCATAATATAGTCATCTCTGTTTTAAAAAATCTCCTCTTTGACATTTTTCAGCTTAAATTGCACCTGCACAGAGAGGCCCTCCCTAAGCACCAAATCTAAGGTATACACTTACAGTTTTCATTGTTATCATGCACCTAATTTTCATTCTCTGTGTATTATTTAGTATTTAACTTCTTTTCTTGTTTGATTATTTATATTTGTTTGTTTTATATTTTCTGTCACCCCACTGACCTATGGGATGTAATTGCCTTAAATGCAGAGATTTATTTACCACTCTTTCCCAATGCCTAGAAAAGTACTCTAAATATTTGTTGAATAAGTGATAAATTTTTAAGTTACCTGTTAAGTAATATCAACATGCAGATATTCACATCCTGCTATCTTGCCTAGAAATTAAAATTAGCATTTAACTCTCAAGTCTCCAAGTTCAATGTAAAGAGAAGCAAGTAAATATTTAGCTGAAGCTAAGGTTATTTACCTATCTACTTATTCAACAACATTTATTGAGCACCTATGATAGCGCTAAGTGTTGGAGAGACAGTGACTATGAACATACCCTTGAGGAGCTTACTTTCTAATATGAGGCCTTTTATATAATTTAATTTATTTGTTTATTTATACATACATGTATACATGCACACACATATAAATGAAAGGCTGTGCTAAGTATTATAGGAGCACAGTTGGAGGGGAGGTTGTGTTGGGAATTCCTTTATGGTTCCTGAGAACTTTATTGAAGAGGCGATGTTTGCACTGAATATGTTGTGGTGAGATTGGACACCATAAAACTGGTTCAAAAGTAGCAGGAGGAGAAAACTCCAGAGCAACTCTCAGCACTATCCAATAGAAATATGATGTGAACCACATATATAAGCCAAATATATCATTTAAACTTTTTAGTAGCCACATTACAAAGTAAAAAGATATATATCAAATTAATTTTAATGATATATCTTTAACTCAATATATCCAA